TTAACTACTAAATTTAAAGTATCATTTAACTCGGTTTCAGACCTTTCGAAATTATAACACGAAACATAATAAATTGGGAGCTCATCCGGAATTTGAATCAGAGACAAAATTCAATCTAAATTAAAATTTAAATCACAATTGAATTTATATTATTCAGTGCCAACAAGATTTGATCATGTCTGATTATTTAGCTTTTCTTAAACCACCCTCCCTCGAACAACTAGAAAAATATAACAAAAATAAATTGCTTGAAATTGCCAAAATTTTAGAACCAGAAGTCAAAAGATCAATGAGAAAAAATGAACTAAAAAACGCATTATCGAAATACTATTCGATGATGATTTGTTGCCTGAGGAAGCATTAGAGGAATACTCTAGTGCACATACTAGCCAATCGGGGTTTAGTGATAAAAATAAATTAGAAATCCAGCTAAAACTCAAACAACGCGAGCTCGAACAAGCTCGTATCGAAGCCGAGAGAGAACAAGCTCGTTTCGAAGCCGAGAGAGAACAAGCTCGTATCGAAGCCGAGAAAGAGAAAGAACAAGCTCGAATCAAAGCCGAGGAAGAACAAGCTTGTATTGAAGCTGAAAGAGAAAATAAACGTCCCGAGGCCGAAAAATATTGCATTGAAGCCGAGAAAGAAATGTGAATTAAACTCAACACCGATCGACCAAGGCAAAATGACAATTTTGAACATAATCGATATGTTAAAGTACCACCATTCAATGAAAATGAAGTTGATAAATATTTCCAAAATTTTGAGAAGGTTGCCCAAACCATTTAACTGGTAAAGCACAAGAAGCTTATGCCACTCTCTCTTTAGAAGATTGTACAAATTATGATAAGGTTAAATCAGCTATTCTCAAAGCATACGAGTTAGTACCAAAGGCTTATCGCCGAAAGTTTCGAGGTTATCGCAAGCAAGATAATCAAACTTATATGGAATTTGCTCAATGGTGCAATTCTATGCATATTGGCAACAGTTTCGACAAACTAATGTCTAATTGAGAAATTTAAACGTTGTGCACGTAATGACCTCAAAACGTACTTGGATGAAACGAAAGTTGGAACACTACAGGAAGCAGCTGCTCTTTCTGGTGATTACACGTTAACACATACAACCACTTTTCATAAAAAAAAATCTGCCATCTTAACAAAAATCTGTATCGGTTCAATACACTAAAATTGAGGATCCTTCTAAAAAATCCAGCTCCTCTAGTTCGAAATCGTCATATAGTTGGGCTAAAACTTCATCAAAACCATCAAGGCCTGCCTGCCATTTTTGTAAAAAACCTGGTCATGTTATGTCAAATTGTTGGTGTTTGAAAAAGAAAAGGAGGCAACACCCAGTGCGTTTGTGTCCACATATGGACGTGGTTTCACCAGATCACCCAATGTTGTTGATTTGGCCACTGATATAATGGCTGATATAATCTGGGAGGAATTTAGACCATTCTGTGTCTTTGACAAATGACACTGGCAATCCCATACACATACGTATTCTACTT